ACGTTCTTGGTTCTTCGTTCGATCGAGACTTTACTTCGCTGCACGCAGGCAGCTCTCTCTGGAGCTCTCTCTCTTGAAAGAGAGAGATAGTTCCTCTCTTGAAAGAGAGAGCCACCGCTCTTATAGTGTGGCCAGCTTATATTTAATCTACTTGGCCTGTTACACAGTCAATGAATATTGTCCTCCTGAATAATATTAGCTAACATTTTAGACACACTAAATCGAAATGTTTCTTGCCTTCCAAGTGGTGGTGATCATGAATCTCAAGATTTTGCTTCTATATTTCGGGATTACATGCTAATTCATAAAATACATTTTAACAGTTGTTCACATTTGATTACAATACTCTTCCTAAAGTACGAACTCAACAGCGAAAATTATTTTGAGCACGGACTTGTGCGACTTGGTAAAATCTATCAACCGCCTTTTATCGCATTCTTGGTCTGTTTATGGCTTAAACAAACATTTCGCTGAATTTACGAACCAATTTTGAGGCTGCAGTCAATCGCGTTGAGCTTCTAAATCGTGCCAACTCTTCAGTTTTTAGTTCAAGCTACGGTAGGACCTTTTTTTTTTTCTTTTTAGAAAGAACACAACTGTATTTGTTCATTTTGATATATACAAGAGTATTGGCTCTCATAATCGGAAATCACTTTATTATTCAACAGTTATATTCGCCCTTATAAGTCTAGGAAATTCGGCTCTGATTCGGCAGAAGCGATCACTTTGGCGACTCTGAATGCGTAGTCCTTATGAACTCTGAAAATGTTTTAGTTTAGAAAAGAAAATTTGAGGATTTTGGAGGAGGAGACATTCTTTCTGCAGAACCAAATTAGACTTTTCACCTTTACACTATTATCGGCTTTCGTTTTGAAATGAAAATTTGTTTCTTTATGGGAACCACTGAAAGGTATTTTGGTGGAGCAGACATTGTTTCTGCAGAACGAACTTGAGCCGGCTGTCCGGACTCACTGGTCCTTTGTGACTCTTGTGAAACCACATCGGACAAATCGGAATTCTTAGAAGTCCCTGGTTGCTGCTGATCTTAGCAAGATTTGAGGGTTTGCTGCAATCAGCTGCTGATCCGCCAGAAAGCTCTGCTGTTCTTTTGATTAAGTTTGCTGGGTTTTTCCCTTTTGCTATTTACCACCAGCTTACGGCTTTTAAACTGCGAGTCCAGCGCAGGCAGTATCATCAGCTCGTCAAAAACTATCTCTAGCAACAACGAAACATCTAATCAGCTCCATCAAGCCTCCTTTAGTTTGGAGTATGAACAATTTCATCTTGTTCGCAACCTCGACACAAGCGTCAGAACAGAACTGCATATTGGGCTCTTTTGAAAGGTCATCACTTAGCCAGCAAGTCATGTGAGACTGGTTAGAAACATACCAAATAATTGTTACTCATTCTATTTATTTGAACCACTGTACCAAAAATACGAAATTTAAATTTATAAGCGAACAGTACCGCAAAAAGAGCACTACGACGGATAAAGCACAAAAGAAAAACGGTGGTGTTACAAGAACCGAAAACCCAACGCAGAAATACAAAACTAAAACTTTTAAGTTTGAGTACAAAGTTAATATTGTAGTTCCCTCGCGAGGCGAACTGAATTTAAATGACTGTACAAATGTTTTGAAAAACCCACCGATGGGTTTAAACGAAACGAAATACAAAATTGGAGCGCAGAAAAGAAATACGACTGTTCACATTGAAAGTCAAGGACGATTGTGTTTTCAAAAATACAAAAGTGAGTTCTCACATTCTGGAAACTCCAAAGCATGTCCCTAATATCTAAGCAGATTGCCTAACAAATATTAATACACGTGACGGACGGACAGACGGAGGACACCGCCATCATAGGGGGAGGAGAGGTTTGCACAACTTGGCTTGCTTTGAGGAAATGCCGAAAGCACGGAAACCAAGCTAATGGGATACTTTACGGGTCAAACTGCTGTGAATATACCTGAAGCTGTAGACGCTCTTATAGACGATACGCTGTTTTGTATTTTTATAGTTTTGATCAATACGAACAACGTTTCTCATTTCGATCCCGAACCACAGAATCAAAAGAAATAAACAATCGAAAATTTTAAGGCGGCGGGCATTTCCTATGGCCACTGGTGTCAGCAATCTTGCGTTCATCCATCCTCAACACCTCGAACTAATACCAATTCCTCTAGGAACTTAGTAACCACGTCAGTAACAATAGCTTATCGAGAGGCCTGTTCGAAAAAATCTACCGATCCCATTGGCGATGAGGTCACCTGCTTGAACCCCTAAAGTATGACTTACTTGCAAGGTTAACTTATCGTAAATAGTTGATAGTTTTCTGAGCATAGTTTTTTTTTGCGTGCGAGAGATTTACAATCACAAATGTCCATGATTGTGTTGGATTTATAAATCCACGTGATTAGTAAAATCGTTGGCTTCGCATGAGCTAATATTGTTAAAAGCAAACATTTCACCATGAGCTCTCCAAACTGAAATTCTCAGCTGCTAAACACTTTTTCGCTATGAAAAAAAAAATACTTTTGACATTTCTTTTTGAGTCACTTTCAGTCCTAATTTAGGCAAAGAGCGTGCAGTTGGTTAATAACTTTAATATCCGTTTATGACCAAGATTGAGTATTTTCAATAAAGTCCCTGGATTTAAAAAGATTGTTTAATTTTTCACCCCGCAGCTTGTGAGTTTATATTGGTAAATTAAGTAATGCCAAGGTTTTGCGGAAATTAATTCTGAGCATTAATAAAAAAGTAAAAATACGTTTCTAAATGGTGTGTTTTTCTAACAAGTGGGTTAATACAAATATTATTAATTTAATAGTATTTGAGCATTGACCCCCCTACCATCGATGTCTCCGCAGCCAAAGAGCGCTGAATGTGCTCCAATGCAGGTATGCAATGACCTATGGTATGCAATGACCACCGCAATTTCTTTAAGGGGGAGCCTGCTTTAGAAGCTTTAATAAATCGATTTTTTCGAACACTTTTTTTTTTCGATTGAAACGAAACTTTCAGGTTTTATTGTTATTCATTTCAAAAGTCTTCTCAAGTTTTTTTATTAAAATATATGTCATATTATGCCTGGTCGCAATTTTTATCCGAAAAAAATCAAAAAATTTATTATTTTCAATAGTATAGCTTCTGGTTAAACCTAAAAAATTGAACAAAAAGTTAGAAATTCAAAGCAGATTAAAAATAGGTTAATCATATCTTTTTTAAGGTATTAAGAATTTTATCACGAATCCAATAAAGGTTGTCTCGTTTCGAACCTTTAGTTCTTTATCTTTCCCGCCAGTTGGGAGAAATCGTAAAAAAAAGTTTTCGTATATAAAAATCTTTCTCACTATTTTTCCTGTAACTTTAAAAATATTTGGAATTTTCTTCTGAAATTTTAGGGACACATTCTTAGATAGTTTGGCTAGACATTTATGCAAAAAAAATCTATTTTTTGCAGGCTCTAAAACAGGCTCCCCCCTTAAAAACGTCAACTGAAACAACAACAGCAACCGCAACTGTGCGTTTAACGACATCATTAGCACCTTTGTCAACAAAAGCTAGCACCGCAAATATTAATACGTTTGCCGCTGCGCTGTACGAAACCAGAACAAAAACAAGACAGGAATGCTTCCTTCGGGTGGAGCCGTAGTTGATCTACCCTTGCAGAATATTCTGTTATGGCATTTCCAATCGTTCAGCTATATGGCAGCTATAGGATATAGTCGGCTGATCCTAATGAAATGTGGTAAATCTGATTGATTAGCCAAAAATGAAACCCATAGAAAAACCCAATTTCTTAACATTACAAACACCAAAGTTATGGCAAACGTGCGGCAACTGCGGTGGCAATCACTCTGCTAACTACAGAGGTTGCCCAGTTGCTTATTCTCGACTGCAGCCAGATCCTCACTACGACCCACAAACTCTGACAAAAATGTGATACTTGCAAGCTCTTTAAAATCAGGGCTGCCTATCCCTGTCTCAAAAAGTTAATTTCTGCAATCAGCATTTCAAGAACTGAAAACGGCTCAACAGCATCAATCCCTGGAGCAGCCAAAAATCAACTTTGAAGCTATGATATGCAGCCTGCAACAAAACCTTACGGAGTTTATGTCGTTTATGCGCACAACTATGCAAGATTTAATGCGAAACCAAAATCTATGGATTCAAATGCTGGTTTCCCAACAATCCAAGTAAAGACTTCCCCACGGATATATACGTGGAACGCCAGCGGCGTTTCACATCATAAACTAGAGTTAGCTCAATTCCTACTCGACAATCATATCGTCATAATGCTCCTTTTAAAAACACACCTTACCAACAAATATAATTTTCAACTTCAAGGCTATTCATTCTACGGAACAAATCATCCAGATGGTAAAGCACATGGTGGAACTGGAATTCTAATCAGAAGCCGAATTAAGCACCACTATCATAAATATATAACTAAATACTGGCAACCAGCTTACCCTAGCCGCGAACGACTTGGGGGACGCGCAACCAGAATGCAGTCTGTTAGTTACATTTTAATGTTAAGATTCGTAAACTTATTGTTAGTCTCAAAATTAAGAGAAGATTCAATAAATAAAAGCAAGTTAATAATAAAAAAATAAAAAAACAATTTAAATATGGCTCAAAATGCGAGCATAGGAACTGTGAAATAAAACCAGGTTCTCCAAAATTAATTTAGAATAGTTCAAGTCTTAAAGGTACTATTTTATAAACTAAATAAAAGACTGTTTTGGACAAGTACGAATGCTTTGAACAATATGACATTAGGAAACTCAATATCTTTTACGTTTGCTTAAAAAACGACTAAAACTTGTACTATTCTTTTATACCGGAAGTACATGTTGGAATAACAAGCTTAAGCATTGTAAGCGTGAAATGTATTTATCACTTATGTGGAAGCACAGTACTTGATTTATAAATAATAGTAAATAGTTTTTTCATTTTACTTTTATTTTTTACTCTTCGATCTTCTTGTTAAAAATTACCTGTGTATTTTCTTCGGGAACGGAATATGTTTCATCTTTGCTTCCACAGGCACCATATGATCTAGACTCCGCCTTACCATGATTTGAATCCGCATTTGCGAGTACCCAAAGAGGGATTTCGGCAAAACTGGTTATTGTAAATGCAACACACATTATAAAAATTATTGTTATTATTGAAAAGACGGCCTTCACATGTCCACCCAATCGCCGTCCTAAAACAAAAGTAATAATTAAAACTGGGCGAAGTTTTATTTTGATTTTTCTTACCGATTTCAGTCTCGTCCCAGTTTAGACCTCCCATTGAATAACCAAAAAATCCTCCCATTCCTGCCATTATGGTGAATGTAGACAGCCCTTTTGCGTGATCTTCTGGTAAACATACGTCTAAAAGATAAGCTCGTGCAGGACTTTGACAAGCATCAGCATCAAAGTCCAAAAGCACAGTTCCCAATACTGTAAAAAATATACCCCAGGAATGAGAAGATTTCGATGTCGTTTGATGACTATAAGTGAGATTTTGTAAATTCATCTTTTCTGAAACTATATCTTCCGCGTATGCATTTCCATCACCAAGCCAATATCCCAAGGTTTCGCCATTTGGTACCAAAAGAAGTCCTTAAAATAAATAAAGACCATTGTTAGCAGTTTGTCTATACATATAAATGGAAATTTCAATACGATATTTTTTTGATTTTAGAAAAATACTTCTGACATGATGTTATTTCAGTACAGACATGCCTGGTCAAGAAAGAAAGACAGTTTGTCCCAGTCATTGCTATTCAGGTAATAAGCCTGCTATCCTTTTGAGGGAGCGGTATTGTAGAATAGACATCCGAAATGGAAAAATTTTAATAAAACGAGACACTTTTTAAGCTTCTTAAAGACAGACTGCATTCCACGTTTGTTGAGGTCCAGTGATGTCTGTAGTTTAGCACCAAAACTTTACATCTAGCCCGGCAGATCAGAGAAGTAATTCTCTTTGCCGAGGTTGTGGTGCACCATACACTAGGCGTGACGAAACTCACCATGAGTGCTACAAGCTAAGAATTGTTTTTAGAGTAGATTCGTGTCATTAGTAAGAAGGAACGAGAATCGAAGGTAACTATGCCTAAAAAATCTGTGACTGTTAATGGTGTCAAATGCAGCTTTAAAGTCGACGATAAAAAGTATCCGTTTTGATTACAAATAAGACTAAGCGATTGAGAGCGGAAATTTTTTTTCCGGGAATCCGAACTGGTACTGTGTCCCAATCTGTAAATCTTCTAAGTAAGACCACTAACCATACAACATATAGACTGGTCATTTCATACAACGAATTTGGTCACAAAATTTTTCAATCGGGGGGCCCCAGTGCTGGAATCGGCAGGCCCGGACACTTCGTGTGCCTTCGGGTTTTTTCGCTCTCGTTCTAATTCTTATTTTGACGCTCGCGCTCGAGTTCGGTCGTTCAGTCGCAGAGTCGCGCATTTTGAAGAAGGTTGGCCTGCGCTTGAATTGGGCTTTGTATGTATGCGTGTTCATGCATTCTCATACAGGGGTGCATGTGTGCGATCATTTTATTTCGATGCAGCAAGAATATTTTGTCTTTTGCTACTTTTCAGACTTGGTACCCTAACAATATGGGCGTATTCACTATTGGGTTAATGATAAAAATAAGAATATTATATGTTATAGTATATTTTTAATATTTCAGCATATATTTCATCTTGGTTTACAAATTCAAATCAGTGGTAGCAAAAAAATGTTTTGCATATATGTATGTATTCCAATTAATAGAAATCAATCTACTGAGATAGGAACAGGGCACATCGCAGTCGGTGTCTGCGCTTAGTGGTTCAGAAAACTTCAAACCAAATCAGCTTTGGTTGTTGTTCTGCGAGCGGATGGTGCCTGCATAGCCTACCGACGATTGAATTTTAGGGGTGGGTACAGAAACAAGAACGGCTGTTTGGCTTTTGTTTTGTTTACATTTTTTAGGACACTTGTTTTGAATGATATGTTTAATGAGTTTTGGTTGATTTTTTTTTTGATTCGCAGTGTAATTTTGTTTAATGTTGTTATTTAATGATCTAGTTATATATATTTTTATGTTTGCTTATTCTTGAAAGTCGCCGCTTGAATTAGTTACCGATAAATATACATACATATGTACATATAATAATTTTATAGTTTTAATCTTGGAAAATAACAAATTGTTTATCCACTATAAAGTACAGACAAAAAAATTTGAAGTGATTTTCTTAAATTTATATTACTATTTTAAATCAAGAAGTAAACTTTTAATGATTTTTAATATAAAAAAAAATTATAAAATTAATTATCATTAAACATAACATTCAAAACAAGTGTCCTAAAAAACGTTCTTGTTTCTGTACCCACCCCTAAAATTCAATCGTCGGTAGGCTATGCAGGCACCATCCGCTCGCAGAACAACAACCAAAGCTGATTTGGTTTGAAGTTTTCTGAACCACTAAGCGCAGACACCGACTGCGATGTGCCCTGTTCCTATCTCAGTAGATTGATTTCTATTAATTGGAATACATACATATATGCAAAACATTTTTTTGCTACCACTGATTTGAATTTGTAAACCAAGATGAAATATATGCTGAAATATTAAAAATATACTATAACATATAATATTCTTATTTTTATCATTAACCCAATAGTGAATACGCCCATATTGTTAGGGTACCAAGTCTGAAAAGTAGCAAAAGACAAAGTATTCTTGCTGCATCGAAATAAAATGATCGCACACATGCACCCCTGTATGAGAATGCATGAACACGCATACATACAAAGCCCAATTCAAGCGCAGGCCAACCTTCTTCAAAATGCGCGTCTCTGCGACTGAACGACCGAACTCGAGCGCGAGCGTCAAAATAAGAATTAGAACGAGGGCGAAAAAACCCGAAGGCACACGAAGTGTCGGGGCCTGCCGATTCCAGCACTGGGGCCCTCCGATTGAAAAATTTTATGACCAAATTCGTTGTATGAAATGACCAGTCTATATGTTGTATGGTTAGTGGTAAGACGGATGCGAATAGTTTCATGAAAACATTTGATCATGATATTTATTTATATTTGCTGGCTAATGTGAAATGTTCTTTCTTGAAAATAAGAAAAATTATGATTTCTTTGAAACTGCCAAGTGTATAATTGAAAAACATGATATGTGCTACGTCAAGAGTACTTAAGGCAGATTGCTACTATGTTATGGGAAAAAAATCTATTTTTGTATTGCTTTTTTGTATAGATAGGCCCATACTTGAATGGAACTTTAAACGCGTTTTTCTCAAAACTACGTTTTTCCAACTAGCGGAAGTGATACAAGTCGCTGTAATGAAGCAATAGTTAGAATCTTGGCGCCAATATGATATGTGTTAGGGTTTAATGAAACTTGCAAGCTAAGAATTTTTAAAAATATTGAAAATTTATTATCAAACATAATATTATGTAGAGGAGAAATTAGATAAATCGAATTTTTTTTTCAAAAGCTCATAATTTTTTTATTGTTAATATTTCATTTATAGTTGTAGTTAATTGTATCAACAATGCTGTTCAGATTAAGAATCTGTATTATATTTCTATATATGTTAGCAGAACCGGCGGAATTACTTCAGGTAGCGGTCCGTCATTGTGTGGACTCACCCTCCCCCTTTTTTCATGCAGCCATTCAAGAAAATTTGTATGTCAAATACAAAGATAGTGAAATCAACGATAAACTTGCGAGTCTGTGTCGCTGCTGCTACTACGCCACCTCCACTTCGAATGCCGCTGTAACTGCTGCCGCTGCTGCGGCCCAACTACAACAGCAGAGCCACTTGCTTAGACGAGACATCTTCGACCTCGTCATCGGTTTTGCTAATCGACAATGATCCCGCTGTGATCGGAGAGAACCTTATCTTCCACAGCGCTGGACTCTATGGATGACTTGGACGCCGAAATTGTGGCGTCGCGACCCACACACCAGCGACGCTACACCTGCCATCATGCATTGCTTAGCGGAAATGGGAGCGATTCACAGATGGAGGCCACGACAGGCCTGATCAATCGACTAGCCCTCGACTCTGAGATTCAAACCAATTGCTGTACTGCAAGAACCGCACCTCGTCCATCTACACGGACAGTTCCGATGACATAAGCAGCTTGGCAGGATCCGATTCCCTGCTCTGTGACGATCGCTCCTTCACGGCCCTGCCCAGCACGCGATCCGCCCAGATAACCAAGATAGTAGAGTATTTTGAGCGAAAGCGGCAAGATTCTTCTCCACCATCGCTGCACCACCGCAATGGGAACGGAACGGTGGCCGCTGTTGTGGCTGCCTCGGCACTGGGATCCAACTACCTCTACGAGTCGCGTCGCTATTCGGACTTCAAGCGGCACCTGAATCCGGATGCTCTGTGCTTTGATCTCGACAAGAAGCCGGCACAGCAAAGGATGATGGTGTGCGAAGGTGCGGTCAAGTCAAGGCTTCCAATATTCGACAAAAAAAAGTAGCAGCAGAGCGGCTATCCGGGATCTCTTTATGGAAACCCGGACCTGATTCATATTTATTAACTTATTTGTTCAGTCACCTTGGGACTTAGTTAGATTATGTGAGATTTTTACCCTTATACCCGATTCCTTCATACCTGGCAGTACCACTTGATAAGAATACAAACAATCGCAAATTAGTTTGCCCATAAAAGTTGGTTAGTTTTCGATGCCTATAAGTGTAATTTAGTTGATAATTTATTTCCTTATCGTTATATGTATAGAGCGCAATTGCAAATAAGCCAAAATGTTCTACTAAAAATTAAGCATGCCCTTGACAATAAGAGAAACCATTTCATTTATATTAGTTTGAAAATTGTATCTTATTACCGTTTAGCATTTACATACATATACATAAACATAATTATATGTCGTACTGGTTCCTAGTCCTTCAAATTTACTTCTACATATGTTATGCTAAATTAGCGAATATTCAGAAACCAATCGTGGAAAGTATTTATTCTTATTAATTAAATCTGTCGCTGATAAACTCCTATGAAATGGCATAGCTGTTCTTTATAAATACATTTACATGTATGTTTATTAAAAAAAAAATGTTGCTTTATAAACTCTACTTAATTTGAGTATTCTATCTTCAATACTTTCCTCATAATAAATTCTGAAAAAAACAGAGTAGCAACCTGCCTTACAAAATTCCACTGGAACTTACACTTTTAAAATATTCCGCCAGACTGGCTGCGACTGCTTGTACTTTCGTTAAGCTTTCTAGCCAGTGCCCAAATATCTTAAATATTAAAGCTCATCAAACGCAATCGGGCGAGGCAGATTCATAACAAAGTTAAATAAAAGTGGTAGTCCTATGATTATAATAAAGATGTTGTATTTACATATTTACAAAGGCCCTAATATGTCAAATAACAATTGTACACCAAGCTCTAATTCGGAAATGACCAAAATGAA